GCGGGAGGGGCGGAGCGGGGCGCCGGCGACGGGTTGGCGGGCCGCCGGGGGCGCTGCGTACCTGATAGCGGCCGGTGAGCAGCTGGCTCCGCGAAGGCGTGCACAGCGGCTGCGTGTAGTAGTTGTCCAGGAGCACCCCGCCGGCCGCCAGCGCGTCCAGGTGCGGCGTGCGGATGTTCGAGCCGTGGAAGCCCACGTCGTTCCAGCCCAGGTCGTCCGCCAGCACGAAAACGAGGTGCGGCGGCCGGCCGGCCCCGGCGCCTGTGCCCGGCGGGGCCACCAGCAGTAGCAGGCGCAGCAGCAAGGGGAGGACGCCGGGGAGGAGCGGCCGCCGCAGGCTGGGGCCTCGGGGCAGGCTCGCCGCGCCGCCCCGGCCCATCCTTCGCCGCCTACGGTGCCCGCGCCTGTGGCGCCGGCAGCCCCCGGCACCGCTTGTAGAATCAGGAACTGGGCGGCCGGGCCTGCCCCGCCCCCACACGGGATTTCACCCCGGCGGGCGGCGGGCGGCGGGCGGTAGAGGCCTGGCGCCGGAGCCCCCGCCGCCTCTGACCCGGGCCCCGGCCGGTGTGACGGGGGAGGAGCCAGCGGAGAAGCACCCGGTTCTCCCGCTGGCCCAGCTCCGCGGAAACTCCGTTGATGCTTGATGGGAGCCAAGATTCTTCTCTTTCCAGAGATGAACCTTGCATCGTAGCATCCTCAAAGAGGAGCAGATTTGATCTTTTTAGTAACTCTTCGCAATTTGCAAAACATTTTCTTTAAATTTCGCAACAAACTGGGCAGTTAGGAATTATAATGTACCCTCCTTTTTTTCAGAATCAAGAAGCCTGTAGTTGGTTGAGCCTAACCCAAACTCACATCCTGAGCCGTGATGTTTTAAAGGTCGTGGGGGAATCATTTCTAGCAAAAGAACTCAGACTTGTGCAAGTGGGCGGTGGATGGAAAGGCAAAACTCTAGGCGATGTTTCAGATTCATTTATGAATAGCATACGCCCGTGAAACCACTTCCTCCTCACTACCCAGAAGGGGGCTAAATACACACTCCGACTGCACGGTGTCCTTTTGAAGGTGCAGTTTTACTTAGGCTGCCCTGAGGAGTTGGGGGGCTGTTGCGTGACCATTAAGTAGCTCACTAGCTTGTCCAGGTATGAGCCTCTTCACGGCGGGCTCCGCGACACTCAAGTAGTGAGCCAAAGAAGTATAGTTTCTAACTTGCTTGAAATCATCTGAGGATGGAAGGAAAAAGTTCCCTTAACCACATGCTCATTGAATTGGGAAGTTAGCCTTACGACCACTGCCATCCAAAACTCTCTGCCTCTTCTAGTCTGGAGATAGACTCTAACTACAGTTATGGGGGCCTGGCGGTTATGCACCGTAGGATATATCCTTTCAGGCTATCTGAATCTGATGCCATGGGAATTATTTCACAGCTTTATAAGTTGTGGATGACTGAGAGCAATGGAAACTAATCCTTCTTTAAAAAACATTTTTAAATGGGGCGCCTGGGTGGCTCAGTTGGTTGGGCGACTGCCTTCGGCTCAGGTCATGATCCTGGAGTCCCGGGATGGAGTCGAGTCCCATATGGGGCTCCCTGCTCGGCAGGGAGTCTGCTTCTCCCTCTGACCCTCCTCCCTCTCATGCTCTCTGTCTCTCATTCTCTCTCTCTCAAGTAAATAAATAAAAT